ACATGTATGGACAGGCTCTGACCGGCATTGCCTCGTTGTGCTCAGATGTGTTGGGCCGAGTAGACTACGGACATCTTATACACATGCTCCTATCTCAGGAGATGGCATCCACGTCCAGTGCAGCCGCGGCTTCATCATCCCAGACGCAACATGAGAGAGTGGTTCTTCAACCACGACAACGCCGTAGGCGTAGACATGAGCAGCAACATCTCCATGACGAAGCTAATGATGAGAACTTGTAGTTTGTCTTTTGTATTGTAATTTTTCTTATGCGGTAGATGTTGTACGAACAATGTATAAGTTTTGATGTATTTTGTCTTGTTAAATATTGTATGGTGTATTGATGTGTTCGAGTATGAATATTAGATGATTACTTGTTATGGCATATATGATGATTGTATTGTGTTATTCCGGTTATGATTTGAAGGTTTTGTACGGGTGATTATAAGGTATTTTTAATCTTGTTGAGAGCAGGTCATTGTGAAGACGTGTGTTGTATATTTTATAATGTGTTGTATGTAGTTCGTAATACTTTAACAGGAGAAGGGAGACCTTATTTGTAGCAAACAGATCGGTCTGGATTGAACCGGGGCGAAAAACTAGCTGAATTGGTGTTTTAGGAAATAGGCACGATCGTGCCTAAGGAAATAGGCACGATCGTGCGTGGCTGGCAGTAGCTGCTGGCTTGAAACCATATTTCAGGGGTCAGTCGCCCAACGGTTGGGCGACTTACCCCTGACCACGGTTAAGCCCAGCAGTATTTTGGTAAATACTTTTTTTTCAGCATTATTTCCGTAATTAATTAATTAATTAATTAACATTAATACGGAAAAAAACTCGTTTATTTTTTGAAAAGCTTAAAATTCGAGAAACAAATTCATAATAATATGTTTAATTATGTTTATTTTTTCAGATCAGATCAAACTTCCGTAGTTATAAAATACATAGAGACTAGACGTTTATCATACTAGACCAGTTCAAACAAGATCAGATCAGTTTAGACCAGATCAGACCAATAAATTTCAGTCCAAAAAAAAATGTCCTTAAACTATTTTGGGTGGTCATCCTATTAAAGCATTTTTATTTCAATTTACATATTATTAAAATGTACTCCCTCCGTCCCATATATATTGTCCCGTTTTACCTTTTCGGGAAGTACTACTTAAATTGTCTCATACCATATTTGGCAAAGTTTGTGTGGTTCTAAATCATTCTTACTTTATTATTACTTTATCAATTAATTTCAACCACACAAACCCACTTCTCTTAATAACCGTGTCACCCTCTTCCGAGATAATATAAATGGGACGGAGGTAGTATGTGCGCTTTCATGAAAAAACATTGAATTCTCTTATCTTATTTTTTAAAAAATGTAATTGATATAATTGTATAGTCACCTACCACTTATAATTGTATATACTCTATTTATCTTTCATTGATGAAATAATGTTTTGAAAATGGAAAAATTCTTTGCCAGTCATATGTGTAACACTCCCTTATCTTCAGTAGGTCGTATTTGAATATATTTCGTTTTATGTCCAAAAAAATATTGTAAGGGTGTTATTCAAAACGGTCCAATAAAAATTGCAACCATAAAATTTATGTGACATAATTTTTTTAACGGGTCTAAATAATTCTAAAAGATTAAAAAAATTACACAAAATTTCACTGAAATTAATTAAACCTGTGAAATATTTTAACCAACCGTGCATCACATGTTCTACACATTTCATTTAAAGTGAATCTCTTTCAAGGGTACATGCAGTTATGTACATACCTTTAGGGGGTCCGGGGGAAATCACCCACTACAAAAAAAGGGCGGGATTGGCAAGGAATTTGGCACGGACTTATCAATTTTTCGTGCCAAATAGCTCGTGCCAAAGTGTTTTTGGCACGGATTTGGCGTAACCCTGCCAAAATCCGTGCCAACTCCGTGCCAAAATCCCTGCCAATCCCGTGCTTTTTTTGTAGTGCGTACCAATAATGCATTACAAGGGTTTTCTACACTGAAATTGGGTTTTCTACACATTTCATCTTACAAGGGTACATGTGTTGTGTAGCTGCGAGCATGTTTTAAGAAAAAAAATCATAAATCGTGCATCGCACGGGTGAGATACTAGTAAGTTCTTGAAAATATACTAAAGTCTGGATTCTTGTATGAAAATTCAAACAAACTTTGGGATGAAATTGATTTGCATTATCATTGTAAGCTATTTCCTTTACCTTATTTATAGGAAAGGACTATATTATTTTGCATCCATCAAACAGAACTCTATTAAAGAATTAACGAGTTCAAATACTATTTTGATTCATTCAATTAACACCATTACTATTACCTTCTTAAACGACTTAGAGTTGAGATATTACCATTATACTACGTACATTACTTTATTGAGGTTTTAGCAGCAGAGTTAACTTTATTTGTGCAATTCTACATATATATTTGATCCATCAAATAAAAACATACAAGAAATAAATCTAAAAAAGATATCTCACAATTTAGAAATAAATACTAATAGACAAGGCTCCATAAAGTACATGATCATTTACAAAATACGAAACATTTTAGAGTCAGTAGCACACAACTATTTTTTCAAAAAATAGCAAATTTCTGGAGTTTGAGGGTTGAGTTTTTTGTTAGTCACTCTACTTTAAAAACAAGAAAAGAAAGTCTTGAATTAGTTAATTTATATAATCAAAGATCCTTGAAAAGTGCATCTCAATTCGATTTTTTTTTTCCTAAAAAATAACCAAACACTACATGTCATGTGTGTGAACGTCCGTCCCAAATTGATTTGCAAATTTGACTTTTCTTGGTCAAACAATTTTATTTGCTTAATTAGGACATCAATTTTTTAATTATATTCTAATTCGTAATTCTGTGTTTATCAAATGACATATATACTCCTTAACGATTGGACAAAAGGGTACCTTATCATTCTTTGTACAAGTATTTAATTGTTCTGAATGAAATTTGAGGCATATGTTTATTTTCTAGCATATCACACCTTCAATTATCATGTGATCAATAACTCGTTTTACGTTTGAACTTAATATAACAACACAAACATTTTTTTACTATAACGTACACGTTTCAATTTCCTTTAAAATAAACATATCTTATTGGCATTCCAATTTTAAAATAATATATAGAAATACAAAAAATATTATATCCTATCCCGTGCATCACACGGTATAATACTAGAATATATACAAAGAGATGACCATTATCATATTACCCCATATTTTTATCTTAAATAAGATGAGTTCCATCATTTGTGACACTCAATTAAACCCTTGAAGGGGTATTTTGTTATATAAACGTTATACACTTATACATCTTAAAATTAGAGAATTGAACGTTTTTCTAAACTTCAAGGGTTTCTTTACTTCGAGAGCTTAATTGACTTTTTTGGCATACTTCGAGGGCAAATTTGACAGTTTTCCCAATAATAAAATAACACTCACCTATGCATAGAAACAACCTAAACATAGAGCCCGTTTAATAATACTGAAATCAGTTAAATCGATTTATTCTTCTAAAATTAGTAAAGTTCGGGCTGAAGTTATTGATTTCATATATCAAAGATGAAAATTAAAAGTTCTCATTTATAAATGAGTTATCATTTTAAAAGGGGTTCTCATTAAAATCTTTCCCAAGTAGTTGTATATAAACAAGACCTAGAGGGGCAACATTCTTGCAGTTATTTTGTGATAAAAATACACCTTTTAGTGTGTGACATGAAGAACCCCAAATATCAGGTAGCTCTGTCAACAACTTGAAGAATAAAATTTTATTTCTTAAGAGTAAATACAACAAATCTTTTGGGATAAAGGTTTGGATGGTGTTGTTGTTGAAGAGTAAATACAACAACTGATTGCAATTTATAGACTATAATTAACTTGTTTAAAAAAAGACTATAATCAACTTAATTAATAAAGGAAAAAGTAATTATGTTCAAGATCGCCTGATTAATACAAATCTCCTAGAATGTTATTAGTTGGATCAAAATTTTGTGGTCTGATCTGGTCTAAACTACACTGATAAATGTATGGTGTTTGTATATTTCATAACTATCTAAGTCTGGCATGATCTGGGATTGAAAACAGTCCAAGTAAAAACATTCACTCCATACTAGAAAATCAGATTATGATGAGAACAAATCTCATACTACAACAACAACAAATCTCATACTAGAACAAATCTCATACTAATCAACTAAATATTTTAATATCTCTACACCCCAAACGCCTGAACTTGTAGTTAGTCATGACTCGGTTCGGGCCGCCCGGCCCGGAATCAGTACTGTTTGGGCCCAGCCCGGCCCGGTCATAGGACCGGTCCGGGCCACCCGAACCGGGAATTAAACGGTGCGGGCTCGGGCCTCATAAAAGTGGAACCGGTCCGGCCTTTTTTTTTTCAATTTCTTTTGTATCTCCCGGGTTGGGCTAGGTGTTTTGGGGGGGTTTGGGGGGTGGGGGTGGGGGGGGGGGTCGGGAGTTAATTAGAAAAGCAAATGAAAAAAAATAACATGAACCGGCCCAGTCAGGAACCGCTGCTTACCCGGGCCGTTTCCGGTTCTTCCTTCCCAAAAAAAGTCCGGCCCGGTCCGGGTCCATCACTACTTGTAGTTTGGTGCCGCTGGAGGCTCCTCTAATGGTGAGCACCCCCCCCTCCCCCCCCCCAGATATATGGAAGAAATAGCCAAAACATTGACTGTTGAATCCGGAGCGTGCTCAAGACCGATCGGTCATTCGGTCCTGACCCCAAAATATCAAACTCGAGACCGGGTAATGTAATCCAAAGGGGCCGGAACAGTCAATCTATGCAAATTTCAACGTGATTTTCACTGTGAGTCATCCGGAAACAGTCTCTTTGTGCTTTAGTACAGAAGTAATATTGCGTACATCCGATCCCCCCTTATCTCACCATAGGTGAGAGCCTTTGCGGCATTTGGGTAATGATGATGATGAGGAGCAATGATCTAAATATTATAGGAGGAAAATTATCTTTATCAATTTATCCTTGGTCTACTCTTGTAATCCGAGTAAGGATCACTATTCTACTTAAACTAATTTAACACTCCGTATAATGTTTGTCAAAGACTTATATTGAGAACATCAAACTGTGAAAGTCAAACTACTAGAGTCTAGAGATAAAACAAAAATATTCCACCTATCGCCTCATTTCTAATGAAAATGCTGACTGTAATTTACAAAAAAAAAAAACGCTGAACCTATTAATAGTATCAAACAAAGCACTATGTTACATGGATCATATACTTATTTCATAATGTTGGGGCTGACTAAAATTTGATTCGGCCACCCCGCCCCAGAAAAATGTGGGTGGCTTATACCAACGATTGACTGGCTAGCCTCTTCTCAGCAGCAATGGCAGCAGCTTCAGATGGTGGCAAATGCATCAGGCTCCCAGCAGACGGGTTATGATCCGTGGATGGGGGGGCAACTCTTAACAAGGACTCGACGTCTTTGAGGGTCAACACAGGATGGTCTTGATTCTTTCTGTTTCCACTAACAAATGATTCTCCCCTTCTGCTCTTATTCAGTTTGTATATACTTTCTTCAACTGTGTCTTTCACCTAGCAGAAGTCACAAACACTGGCAGTTAGTTTTTCTTGTATTAGCTGTTGTATCTTCCGTCCCTAAGTATATCTATTTTCAAGTTACTAAACATTTGATGCCATCCTTAAGAAAACCGATGTGAGTTATAATTTATAAACTCGCCTTTACTCCTACTCATCAGTGACACTAATAGTGGATTTTGACGTGGGGCTAAATTAGTTAAATGTAAACTCATAATTCCCCCTCAATTTGCATGTATCTGGCTCACTCTGCAGAGTGCAGACAATGATATGCTTCATCCAAAAATAATATAGAAATCCAGGCTAGAACTGTGAACTACAATTAGTCCTTTTGGTGGAAATCAACAAGGAGAGCAAGGACTGTAAGGGGACCAAGTAAACTATTACACAAACTAGTAACTTTTTTATAGAAGTAACTTTTTTAGAGGAACAAGAAAAATTTAATGATTCTAAAAAATGAAACGTTTGATTTCTTAATTCCCCCCGCTGAAGAAGACATACTGGCACACACAAACATACATATATGTGTGTGTATCCATATACACGTGTGTAGAATGGGATTCAAATGAAAATAGTGCTATCATTAAGAAATGTTATGTAATGGTACACTTTTTAGTAGTGATGGAAAAGTTTAGTTTAATTACCAAATTGTCTCCTCATTTTTTTCAAATACTACCTCCGTACCAAAAAACTTTGTCATTTTAAAAACTTTGACCAACTATATTTTTTTATTAAAAATTATTTATAATATAAAAATGATATAAAAATGTTCTTTGTTAAAAGTACTTTCATAAGAGTATAAAAATTATAACTTTCTTAATGTTATACTAATCAAAATCATGATCCAAATTTTGTGAAATGGCATAAAATTTGGATCATATCCAGAGCCACTAGAACTCATCTTAAATGCACCAAATCTATTCTCATTTTGGATAGAATTTTTTTACTGAACCAATACACACACATAGATGGGTGCACACCCAGACACATATTTATGAGATAATACGTACTACAAAACGGTGGACGAGGGTCTTTTTGGTCTGGCCAATGCGATGCACCCTGCTAATCGCTTGAGCTTCCGCAGCTGGGTTAAGCAATGGTTCAACCAGGATCACATGTTCGGCTTCCAAAAGATTGAGGCCATTGGCTCCATGCTGAATCAAGAGCAGTAAGACCTGGACTGATTTGGTTTCTGGTGGCAGTTCATGACTCCTACTATGTCCTATCAAATTGCTGCTTTGCCCTTTAAAATAGTTCACAGCTGCATGCGCTCTCCTGCATGGTAAAAAATAAGGACATTAGCCTGATGGTGTTTAGTTTGAGTTATAAGATTTACATAGATAACGTAACACTGGTGGACCTTAGTAGAGCCCCCCCCCACACACACATATATATATCTCATTATATATATAACAAAACTAAAATTGGTCCCCCCCAAAAAATTGACCTTCCCATATTTTGATTGAATATTTACGAAGGGTAAAAAAAAAGAAATAAATAAATAAATAGAAATTGGCAGTTAAAAAGTGACATGTACTCTATATGAATCTATTTACTACGAACTATTTTGTATTCTTTTAAACAAAAATCTAAAAATTTGAGTGTAAGTCCAATTCCTAAAAATAGAAAGTCAAAATGACATATACTCTAATACTATATACTCCCGAAAGCTCTATACTCCATATGAAATAAAAAGTGAGGCAATTCCCAAAAGCTCTTGACTCAAAAACTGTGATTGAGGAGTAGTGACTACAGTTGTAACCATAGTCAGAGTAATTTATGTTTATCTTTTACACATAAGTGACATTTTTGAGATTATGTTTAAATATTAGTGACATTTAAGTAATTTGTGTTTAACTTTTACACTACTATAATAAATATTAGTCACATTTTTCTAAATAAACTTTACTTCAGTAATATTTTTCAAAAAAACACTCTTACTTTAGTGATTCATTTTATATAGTACGAGAATTATATATAAAATTTTAATTATGAACTTCTACAATTATTTTGTTTTAACTACGGCCTCCCCAAAATAAGTTTCTGGGGTCTGCCACTGTAACGTAATGTGACCTGTTTTGCTGGGGTAACCAGATTACATCAGCATTTTTTTAACCTTTTAAGTATTCTAATATTCTAAAAAAAAAATATTAAAGAACATTTCAAATTTGTTTTTAAATTTTTTGGAAAAACAGACAACTCGGGGGGGGGGGGGGGGGGGGTGTTTAGTTCGAGGTAACATTACGTTGATATCATGAAATGTTAGTAATAACCTTGCTTGGTTTCAGATCATTGCATTACTGATTACTCCAGCAATATAACATCACCATCGAGTGAAAACAGGGAATGAGGTTACCTCCATTTTTTAAGATATTGTATGATCATTATCATTTGTAATATTTTACACTATTTCCAAGTTTGCACAGAACAATTTAACAAGATACGCAGACCAAGGCAATCTCAATATTGGATTTCATGGAGATGTATTTTCTATGAACCACACACCCTTTAAGGTAATCTCATATTAATGTATCCTTATTTCCAGCCTAAGGGAATCTCAATATTGGATTTCAAGGAGATAGACTATCTGCCATTTATAATAGCATAGGATTGCTTACCTGCCACCTTTCATTCTTACATGGCTAATACCATTTGCAGCAAAGGCATGTTCCAAGACATCAAGAACATCATTCCAACTACTAAAAACAAGAACCTTTGCAGCAGGATTTTTTGAGTTTATCCATAAAATTCTTCTCACAACGGCTTCGACCTACAAAAGCAACCATCAGAACAGTGGGTCTCTCAAAACTGGCATTAAAGAATAGTTTCTCAAACCATCCAAATGCATTCAAGTACATGATTGAGTTCACCATAATATATTTATGCTACTCACATATGGTGAATAGTGAATGAGTTAACCTAGCGGTGTGGAGCTTATGTTGTGCACATTAGGTTGCGAGTTCTATTCTCCCCAGCCTCGATTTTCTTTCCATCATTTGCAATGGAGCCAAAGATTCACTATTTTTGTCTTGGGGAATATGATGGAATAAAGAAAAATGGCTCACTAAACTGTCTGCGCTTCTTCTCTTATGAAGAAGAAGTCAGTTCATGCAATTTTCAAGGCGATTTTCACCATGGGTCATCCGGAAACCGTCTCTCTGTGCTTTAGTACAGGGGTAAGGCTGCGTACATCAGTCAATTCATTTCTTTCTTTATTTGATTGCATGACTGGTGTGTACTTGTATTATTTAACATCAGTCAGCAGATTGCTAGATTCAAGAATAGTGATGACTCATTCTTGAATGGAAAAAATAATGAGAAGGATAAAAATGGAAAACAGTGGAAATTGCAAAGATCCAAATGTGGATATGGGGAAGTTTGTAAGCGCCCATGTGGAATGTTAAAATTGATTATATGTACCTTTGTACTATATGATCCATGAACAGCAATAGAAGCTTCAGAATTTCCACAGGTACCAAAGGGGGTTTCATCTGATTTATTATCAACGGCATAAGCAATATTTCTATAATCCGTAGGTCGCCTACATGTTGGGCACATGATCCAGCTAGTAGAGGGTTTCCCCGAGTGCCCTAATCTCTTTTCAGTCAATGCAAACAAACCTGCAAAAATGGAAGACATATCCCGCTTAGATTTTACTTTGAAAACTGCGCAGAATGTTGCCTATTGTGAAATTGTACATATTTCTTGAATTGTTTTTGTTGGTTTAACTAGGTATATCACGTCTAGCTTGTTTGTAACTCTTTATTGACAAATCACATGAAAAAAAATTATATGATCAGATAGGACACTTTTTGTTACAAAAACTTTTGAAACGACGTTTGCGCTTTTTGGGACGAAGGGAGTTTAATTAATTGAATACATTACATGAATAGTTTGATACACAAGTAAAGAGTACTCAAATTCATCTTACCTGCAACTTCTTGTTGTAGTCTTGCATTTTATGATTAACATATTACTAAATTAGTGTATGAAATGACTGCCAAGCATATGTAGCTGTAGGTCTTCTGATTTGGTTTATATTTATTTAAACAACTTTCCGATGTCACTCTCTCCCTTCCCAAGAAAAAGGAGAAGAAAACATTAACAATCAGTTGATTGATAGTTGACAAGGCATATGAGTACACATTTATGCAATGTAATGAGAGCCTTACATTTACAGCAAATGACATGGCCACATTGGAAAACCATCTTTTGGCTATCAAGTTTCTCCTGACAAACTGGACATGATTCCTCATTTTTCATGAAGCTCCCATTTTGTTTTTCTTCAGATGTTCTGGATGTCAGTGTTGCTTGGATTGATGTTCTGTTATTAGTACTTTCAACCAGTTGAATTTGTTTAGATTGCACCAGACCCTATTAGATATCACAAACAGAATGCGTAATGACACAGAAGAAGGTGATATTCCTAAGGAGAATTAATTGCTAACTTTGAAAGCCATGTGTCCCTAAGCATTTAGCTTCTATTTTATTTTCTTTTTTCTCATCGGAAAAGGCTATTTAGGATTGGGTCTGATACGGACCTGAACTTATGGCGAGATAAGTAATAGAAATAATAATGAATATATTAATAAGGTGTAAAAAGGAAGTGGGCTGGGCCAAGTAATTAGCTAGATTGAGGAGAAGCCTCATTGGAAAAGAATAAGTAGAAGGAATAGAAAAAGGAGAGGGGCAGACTGGGATTTGGTAAAAACAAGGATCTGGGAGAGATAGAGGCCCTCTCGAATTGGTCTCGGCTATATCCATCTTGTTTCTACAATTTCAATAATAGTTCTACTCCTCAGTAGTAGCCCTGATATACATTTAACTTCTTTGACAACTTGATTATTTTTAGATACTTGCTACCTCTCATTTTTCCTGACTACTTCCGATGTCGTATAGGTCACTATGACAGCTTTGATGCCACTTTCAACACTAATATAAAACTTCCTAATAAAAAAAATCAGGAGGGTCTAAAAACTACACAGTCCCCACAATTGTTACAAAAACTAAGATTATGGTTACCTACTATTGAATAACTATCACTAGTGCAAGTGTGCAACAATATCCAAACTATATAGCAACATATAGTAGTTCTACTATATAACTTTACTAATAAAGCTTTATCAAAACTATCTAAAAAGTTAAAATAATTTCTAATTAATCTTGAAGTACGGTGTTGCACAAATAGAAATATCCTGACATGTATCAATACGGGATGAAGGCCATGGTAGTGATCAGTTCCGAAGATTTAAATGAGCATAAAGAAAAATAATATCACACTACTGATTTTGTAACCTTCAAATAGCGGAGCTGTCCTTTTACTCTAGATAAGGAAGACAAAGCCAAAAACTTTTCACTTGTAAACTGAGCATTTGCTGCAACTAATTCTCCTAGGCCCAGTGCATCAATCGATCTATCATTCTCATCTTCGCGTAAACGGAGTCTAGAAGTTGCCATTTTAATTTCATCATGAGCACGGAGAACTTGAGCTTGAGCAATTGCAAGAGACCTAGCTTGTGGATACTCCTTGCGCATACCCTTCATGCGATTTCAGAAAAGGAAAAAAAAAAAACTTGAGCTCTCTTTAGAGGGTAAGTTTAAATGGATTCATATGAAATCTCAAACATATCAATATATAGACAGCCCTCCAAACCCGTCCCCCCTCCAAAGACCTCTATCCAACTTACCCACACCAGACCAGAAATCACAAAAATATGTCATAGGTTTGTATTGAACATTTGAACTTTGATATAATAGAGTATTTATCCAGATGCACCTCAAGGAGAAGAAGCTGCTTCGCAGCTGCTGACATGCTATCTCTATCTAGCAGTCCCCTGGAGTTGCTCTTTATAATGCCCAGCACCACCTCCAGATCAGACGGAGATTTTGAAACCTATCCAAGGCAATTAGTAAATTTTATCAGTTTTTAAATTCGAGCTGTCCAACAAAACAAGAAACATAGTCACCAAACCATTCTAGGAACCAATCCCAAATAACCCAGGCAAATAATACTGCATCCAATTTTTGACAACATGAATGCCTCATTTGGGTAAAAGAAAATGAACTAACCAATATGTTATTTAATCTTTCATCATGTCAATTATGTTCAGTTCAGAGCAGCCAATTTTCTTATATATATATATATATATATATATATATATATATATATATATATATATATATATATATATATATATATATATATATATATAGGGTTGAGATCGGATACAAAGCATGTTCCCATACAAAATGCAAAATCATCTCATCCGTCCAATATTACAAAATTAAGGGGGAGATTTTGTTGGAGGACCAATACTTACGTATTAATTAGTGGGAGAGTTTTTCTCCTCTAACCACAACATGCGGCCACAATTTGTGGGATTGGTTTCCTATCTTCACCGTTACCTTATTAAAATCAATGGCCAAGATTAGTTTGCATTTTGTAAATTAGGATTAGTTTGTATGTGATCCTAAATCTATATATATATATATATATACATACCATTTACAGAGACACTACTTTCAGATACGATACTACAATTATTGTTATCACAAGCAAAGGTACACCACGGCTCCTACTGAGTGTGCCAAGTATCGAGATATTTAACATGTTCACTTCTATAGTCAGAAATGGCCCGAATGATCATCACTTTAATGATTTTGTGGGAATGGGCTCTTTGTAACTTGTATTGGTTACTATGTTTGAATACTTGATGAGGTGCGTCTTGGTCATCCTTTTTCTTAAATGTGCGTCTTGGTTTAAAAAAATGTGCATCTTGGTCTAGTGGGAGGTTTCGAGTTCGAATCCCGCTAGGCACACAAGGGTTTGAAACTCAATGGAGTGAGTTTCAGCCCTGATTACTTCAGGCTCCCCCCAGCCCCCCTCCCCCAGACGCCCCCAGGAGTAAAAAAAATGTGCATCTCGGTCATCCTTGCATATAAAGTGAGCTTATTTCTGACAAAACAAGGGACTATTTACAGAAATGCATAAAGAGCAGCTGGTAACAGAATAGCATATAGAGAGCTAGCCTATAGTCCAGTACAAATTTGAAATTTAGCTCCGTTTGATGAGCAGAAGTACATTTTGACTAACTTATTAGGTTGAAATGGATGTTACAAATGGAAAAACGTTTCCCTTTTATAAAAAATCTGCAGTCCACTTATTTCAGCCAAAAAAAACCTACCAAACAAGCTCTCGGTCAACATATTTGTCCATGATATCAGTCACTTAACTTCTAACTATGAATTTGTGTTACATACACGGATACACCACCCAAAGTCATTTCAATTGACCTTGACTGCCATAGCAAGGGATGACTTTGGATCCAGGGAAAAAATGCAAGCAATAGCAAAAAATGCTCATGAGCACAAAGCCACAAATAAGAGTATCCTTGTGTTGTGCTAAAAATAAAACTCATTCAACACTATAAAACAAATAAAAGTACTTTAAGGTTCTTCTTTTAGGAGTGAATGAGTAAAGTTTTCCCAGGGAAAAACAATGATATTTGAAGAATCCCTATCAAGTTTCAGTCCTGTTTATAGAACTTTCCAACAAAAGATGAGAGAGCATGGAAAATTACTATTATTAACGAACTCAATAAATATAGCTGACAATCAAACAAGGATAACAACTTACTAGTACTCTCTCTCCTTTGTCTCTTTTTTTTCTGTCACCTTTGGGTTCAGGAACCAGCACAGTCTCATTCTTATTAGATTGTGACATTGTTGAATAAAACCGATTTAAGGCATACATCTTCTTCTGCAGGTTAACAGCCTCCACAGCAGATGTAATGGCATCTCCATCTTTCCCTTTATTAAGCCGAAATAGTCTAGCTTCATACGCCTATAAAATGAAATTTTCACATACAAAGGAAATGCTAACACATGCTCTGCTAACACATGTTCTGTAAGCATCAAAAAATCAATGGTGGGGGATGTTGCAAACTTGATTTAAAACTCATTTTATTAATAGATTTCAAATATTTATAGCTTAAGAAATCTAAATATATGTAAAATCTTGAACGTTCTAATCAAACTTGGTTTTTCTTTGAATATTCCGACGCAAAACCAAACATTAAAAATCCTATTTTCCTTGACATTTTCCACTTTCACTCCCATTTTCCAGGTTCTAAACATAGCCTTAGTTACTTGAGTGCAGGGGGTGGGGTGGGGTGTAGGTAGCGCGAAAATCAGTTTGGAAATTGAATTACCACCTGGAATAAGTCATCAAGTTCACAGTGAATACACAAGGGGCCTTCACAATTAGCATAGCACTTAGGACAATATCGCACACGCTCTATGTCCTCCGTCCTGGGATTGCCCATCGTTTGATCAATATCCAAAAGTCTATCAAGTAAAGTTCTCCTTGAGTCTTCTAATGAGTCTAGGCCAGTCTGAATGAAATACTTCAGAGCTGTTATGCTGCGGAAGCTGCAACAGACAAAACATGAACTTAGCAAAAGATTTTTGGTTTAGCCCTTAAGTAATTTTCTTTTCAGCGTTAGGAAGTTAGCCCTTAAGTTATCTTGACAGTTGACACACTTTATTAATGGCCACTGCTTTAGGCGGCCTAAACCACATAAAAATGGTTATACGGCACATAAAAAGTCTCAGAACATGTTTCTTTTCAAGGATGCAAAAATTTACAAAAGGTTGACAACCAGTGGTCTCCATAAACGAAAACCCAATGCACCATATATGATTTGAAGCTTAAAACTTGTTTGGTATACCACCTTTTGACTACATTTGTTTAATGTATTAGGTTTTGAAGCAACCAGAACTAAAAAACCAATGTGAATGTTACCTTTTGGTCAAATGACAGAAATAAAGGTAAATGACACTTCTACTCTCATTTTCTAGATAATACTTCCCCTAACTTACTAAAATACATTTTAAACACGTATTTAGATAATTCAGTCATTCAACCATAATATAAGCGAATTCAGCCTGTTCAACCAAATTTACCTCTACCAAATGGACACACTTAGATCACCATCTTGGTCAAAGATAATGACACAATTACATGCTTTTCTAAACATCTGCCAATAAAGGTACTAAGTATGATTGAATCAAGAAAAAATGATACTAAGATACAAGCCTAAGGCCAACCACTAACCAAGAGGCAATCTTTGATGCCCCAGAAGTGTTTAGTGTCCCAGAAACAGCTTCTCCTGTTTTGCGAATAAACTCAACTGACAAGTCCTTGTTTTTCTCAATATGGTGTAGGGCTTCTAACCACCACGTCGTATGCTGATCTTCTTTATCCAGAAGTGCATTGCGAACCTTCAAAAGAACCACCAAACACCGTGGTTTATGGCATAATAAAAGGGTATTGTTGTAAAGCATAACTGCAAATATTAATATGAAATACCTGTTCGTATGACTTCCTGAATTCTTGTTGAGCAATGCATAACTTTGAACTGAACACAGACAAATATTTTTGCTTATAAATTTCACAAGATGCTTTTAGATGTTGCCTCTCAGTTTCTATGTATGAATTGGATGAATCCTTAATTGTCAGATTTGAAACTTCTCTTTTTTTTGTCTCACTCTGCAATGAATTCCGGAAGTGATCTTCAACCCCTTCAGTCATGAACTCATCAGCAATTTGGGGTAGTACCTCAGCAAGATTATGATTAATATGAATGTTTAACAGAGGGTCCAAGTGGAAATCTTCAGAGTGGTCTTCAGTTACAGCCAATGCTTCTTTGTACAATGATATAGCTTGAGGAATATCCTTCTCAATGATAGCTATACCAGCAAGGCCATTTAAGGAAACAACTAGTTTCCGAAGCTCTTCTTCTCCTTCGACCTTTGTCTTACTTACAAGAACCTACACAAAAGCCATGATCTTTAAACATATATAAAGATCTGGGTTTATCTTTTCGGTAAAACCTTAGCTATGTAACCTCACTAGTCCGTTTAGACCCCAAAAAATGCTAGGAAAAGAAAATAGCGATGAAGAGGAAAAAAGGCGGAACGTAAAAAATTGGTTCCAAACTTCCAATGCAACAAATGAATTTTAGATATTTGTTTGAACGAATTAGATGGAGATGTATCCCATAGAATCAGAATAGGGTGCATGGAATTGAAGAGTGTGTCAGGATTTCTATGTGATCAAAGTATGTCGATTAGACGGAAGGATATATTTTATAGGACAACAATTAGGCATGCATTATTGTATGGCGTAGAGTGTGGCCGAGATGAGTGTGGCAGAGATGAGTGTGGCAGAGATGCGCATGCTGCGTTGGATGTGTGGACATGCTAGAAAGGACCGCGTGAGGAATGAGACAATTAGACAATTAGACTATTGAAGATAAGATGTGGGAGTCTCGTTTGCGGTGGTTTGGTCATATGCGTTGAAGACTAAGTGATGCACCTATCAGACGAGTTGAGATGTGTGGAGAAGAGGCAGGGAAGAGAGGATGAGGAAGACCCAAACAAAGTGGATTAGAGGAGTCAGAGTAATATGCTTCTTGGGTTGGATGAGGGTATAGCTTTGGAGGAAGCAAAGTGGATAGCGGGTATTCACGTGGAGGAGTGATCTCTTATCATCTTTTCCCCTCGTCTTCTTTTTCTTTCTTGTTTTTTATTCTTTTATCTTTATTTATATAAAAATGTTCTTTTTATCCTTTTTATTCTATCATTTTTATGCATATCCATCTCTATTTATATTACTCCCTCCGTCCCAAAATTATCTTCATAGTTACTATTCACATGGTCAACTCAAATTACTCTTAATCTTTTACTTTATATATCAAATTTTTATCAAACTTAAATTTTCTTGATCAGGCTTTGTAGCGGTTTTCATGTAGTTTCTGAATATGTAAATTTTATTTACTAAAAATAATCCAAGTGTGAACAGGGATCGAGTTGCTTTATCTTCAGTCAAGCATCGTAAACCGAACTATGAAGATAAATATGGGACGGAGGTAGTATCTTTTTTTATCGTAGCTTATCTTTCTTTTCCTTTGGTTGCGATATCATGTATCGATTCGAGTTAGCCGACCCCAAAATCTTTTGGGACTAAGGCTTGGATGTTGTTGTTGTTTGAACGAATTTTACTCATATATATAACATAAATCATAAGAAATATATGTAAGAAATTAAAAAAATGACCAAATTTGATAATCGTTTATGTTTCCATTGTAAAGCAAACATTAAAAAAGTTCATTTATCTAGCAATTTTTTCCATACCCTTTTCTGTATTCCAATCATAGTAAAACGGACATACCGACAGGATCTCTTCCATGGTCATTGGAGACTGCTGTAGAGAGCGCAGCCCTGAACTCCCAACCTGTGGATGACAACACGCTTGTCGGAGTTTCAAAAGTGAGTTGAATAGCTTTGCAGCCTCCATATTTGTGATAGCAACACCACATAAAGTATCTGCAGGCGGCTCAATACCTGAGAAAGATTTTAAACCATCAAAAATATTATTTTTATAAGTTTATAACCCTTAGCATAAAAAACAATAATGACATAGTAGTTTTCAATATGTTTTTCTTCCCTGTAAATAGTGTCTCTTTTTTTAACAGTTTAAAAGATCTCTGTAAAAGAATCACTATCCACCCTAGTTAGTAGTTACTCATCTTATTTTTAGTCCCACTCTGTCACATGGCTCACACAGCTCCAGTGAACCCTTTTCATGTCATTTTTCAAAATGCATGATGTTTGATTTCCAAATATTGCAAATCTTTGTAACTCAACTGAGTCTATCAGGAAAATAATGCCTAAAATAAATTCACCATTCTTACTTTCGATTTATACCTCTAAAAATAAAATGTTAAGTATCTATGGGGGCCACATCAGCTTTTTCCAGAAGTTGATATAGAGGGACTATGTTATGGACCTAGCCCATATTAGGCTCATATCAAGGCCATAAGCCCAGAATCCCAGATGTAGAACTCACTTCCAAAAGATCAGCCAATTAGGAGGGAACATTTTGCTTATAAGCCACCGGTCAAGCCCATACTTGACCGTTGTGGGATCGTTACAATACCCCATGCTTCAAAGAGCCAACGTCCATTGGTCACGGACTCACGGCTATGTTGGTCACGGTTGGCACCCCCAGGACCCAAGCCACCACTCCGAGCGCCGGGACCACAAAGATGGGGTGTCTCTGATACCAATTGTTACGGACCTATCCATACTAGGCCCATATCAAAGTCCTAAGCCTAAGTGTAGAACTCACTCCTAAAAGACCAGCTGATTAGGAAGAGGGAACACTTTGCTTATAAGCCACCAGTCAAGTCCATTCTTGACTGGTTCGGGATCATTACAGACTAAAAACAAAACAAGAGTAAATCAGTACGAAGATTACAAGGATGTAGGACCTAAAAAACTAGGTTAGCAGGCAGAAATAAGATAATATATTCAGCCCTATACATTATCAACTAACCTTGTAGTTTCTTCTTCATATTATTCTTAAAATCTTCAATAAGTACACGAGCATCATTCACACAAGTTTCGTGTTGCCTCTGGTAGAAGTGTTTTTCAATTGGTGAAAGAGAAAGCCAAGAGATGCATTCTTCTTGAGGAGGAAGTTGTAACTCTTCAGCAACATGCTCTTTTGATGATCTCCACATTATATGCTTAAAATATTTGTGAGTAAATTCCATGGCTCCTTCATCGCCCCTCTGTAGAACGGGAAGAAACTATGAACTACAAACTTTGCAAGATACAAGTTATAATTAAATTGGACAAGCAAAATATGATGAAACCATTAAATTAGAGCTTGAAGGTCCATTCAGAACTCGTAATATGCTGAGGGGAATATGGAGAGGAATATGAGAAAATTTTGGAAGCAAATAAGATTTGAGAAAAAACAATGCAATACGATTTGAACTCTATTAATCAATTATATGTATTTACTCAAACACATCTTAATATATATTTCTATTACATAAGAACAGAGAAATATAAAGATACGTAAAAAAAATTATCAAATTTGCCTTCAAAATTTTGAATCTTACAAAGTAAAACTAAAATTTAAAACTAATTTTACCCCCCCCCCCCCCCCCCATTCCCAACAACTATCTGGATTCCAAGCATAGCCTACTAAAGAAACTTTCATATCATAACTCAGCAAATCTCCCAATTAGACAAGAACAGATTGATCAATAATATAGCATGTGATTCAAACTGCAATGCCACACATAACAACTATAAGATTGGTAAAATACATTATTAATTACAACAAACCTCATATGGATCACAAATTACATCAGCCCACCACCTTAAAATATCAAATGGGCTTGCTTTCAGGAATCTCAAAAGCCCATACAAATCGCCAAGTCTCTTTTGTATGGGGGTACCAGTTATGCACCACCGATGAACTGTGTGTAGCCTTAATGCCATTTCAGTTGCAGCAGAAGCATTACTCTCGACCATTTGAGCTTCATCCAAACATATCCTCCACCATAGTATCCTGGTGAGAGGAGTGGGAATAACTGGGAATCTGCACCAGACACATAATTTCATTCTTAAGATGTTCATTAATATATTAGTAGGAACGTAGGGGGCATGTCAGCGGGAAGGAAATTTTGAGAGAGAAGAGATAGCTCAACAAATCAATTCTAGATACTTCCTCAAACTCAAGTTATTTATACACACATATTATATTACATAGAGACTAAAAATGTGTGTGCACATACATACATATTCATATATAAATGGGTTTTGGTTCAGATAAAAAGTCTTCTTCCCGTGCAAAATGCAAACTTATCAGGAGCATTGGATTTATGTCAAGGGTGTAAATGTACCTATAGTGCATTAATTTCGTTCAAAACGCAGTGGCACTTTAGTAAATAAACCAATTTTTTCGCAATAAGTGCATCCTTTGGAAAGTCAAACTGCATCATGGATAGGTAAACATGCACCTATCCATGAAAATTGGACCGCACCCTACGTGAAAATTGTATATGCATTTATATCTTTATGTAATATATATCATAACTTGAGTTTGAACATATATCTAGAATGTAACTTTCCTTCATATCCTCTCAGGGTAAAACCACACACAAAATTTTATATTCCTTCACATTTTTCCTTTCCCTGCCATTTTCTGGATCTAAATATAGCATAAGACGATTTTGTTCTGACATGGGATTATGGGAATTAGAAAATCTGTAAGGATTTGATTCATAAAAAGTTCCTCTTCACAAGTCGTGGTACAAGAAACAGGCCAAGGAAACAAAGATAATTACTAGATACGAGGGTTGAAGGATGCCTTTTTGCAAATCTCAAGAAGCGACGATCGCCATCATATCTGTCAGAATCATGTGACAAGTCCTCCTTGAGCACATCATATGTTGTCAAGACAATATCTGAATTGAGAAGATCATTTATGTCTACCAAAGATGACTCCGAGAAGGTAGTGATTTTAATGCCATCATATATGAATGTTCTCAATGAACCAGCTTTTGCATGTCTGCATAGTGCATACATGAAAAGAACAATACGTTAATAAGGACATGCACATAAGACAAACATAGCTTTAGACCACTTTTGAAATTACTTTTTTCAAAAACAAGGTCTTTTATAGGACTAAAATTACATCTGCGTTGAATTGAAGTGTTCCAAAAAAATCTAAATCTCTCAAAAACACTTTTTATGAAGGTTACGAGATCAACAGATAGACATTCTTGAAAAAAATCACTTTTAGTTCTTGCATGACAAAGCAATTATAGTGTAAATCAACCCATATATGCTCTTATATGCTTATAAATATAACATTTATGTTTATGGTCACCTAAATAAATCAGAAAAGTGTACAATAGCAGTACTAAGGCACTAAGCCAGAAAAACTAGAGAGAAAGGACAGACATATGTATGAAATGTAAGAGAATAACTATTATCCCTTCGTCTGTCGACAGATTATCATCTTTTCAAATTGCATGAAATCTTAAAGAAAGTCATTTATATATTGAGATGATACCCTAGTGAAGAAAAAAAATAGATTACACTTCAGCTACATGGCAATGTAAAAAACAGTGGGAGGGCAAGACTACCGAATTATTTCAGCATGCCACTGGGGTAAAATAGGAGTAGGGCACACTATAAGAGTAGCACCAGATGCAACAGGAGCTTCAGTGGCTTGGATTAGATCTGTGCACACTTTGCAGAAATAAACCTCATCTGTCTCAACTATATGTTCATTGCGTTTCCTTTTTGCACGTTTATGCAATTCTCCAGATGAATCATCATTTCTATCAATTTCTTGCTTAGAATCTTTTTTAGGTTTTCTGTGATTTTGTGGTGAATATCCAACACAGTCTGCATGTTGCCAAGCATCACAAGCATCACACTGTACCCACAACCCCTCATACCTGATGCTTTCACTAACAGAACCACATATACACTCAACCCTCTCATGCTTCAATCTTTTAAGGTCTTTTCTCACGTCTCTGTGAATCTGTGTTGAATTAAGCAGACTGGCAGTGCCTGTTGACGTCGCCTGGTGAGCGAAAACACATGCAAGCAGCTCAACAGTTTTCCCCAATCCCATCTCATCTGCAACTCATAATGAAACATAACAGCAGAAGAAAGTAAATGTGAAATTAATTTCATTAAGATTTTAACCACTAATGAAGATGGGTCTGTTGGTATTTTTTTTTGAAGAAAAGAAAGTTTTATTAAAGAAGATGTTAAACAAAGTACAAGAGAGAAAGATGAAAAGGAAAAAAAACTAGAGAACAAGACAAAAAGAAAGGGAAAAAAAGAAGAACAAAAAAAAGAAGAAGAAAAAACTTAGCTAATAGCCTACCCGAATTACAACACGTGATAAGCTCCTAAAAAATCATAGCTCCGCCAATATTGTCGAACTCTATGCGTGACTGCGATCTCATTCTCATGAGATGGGATTGTTGATTTTTTTTTCTATACACTTCAATTTGAGTGTTTAAGTTCCCTGTGGGCAAGCAATTGTCCTTTGTGACCTTTAGCAAAACTTGTGATCTTTTGCTTCCAATTACAACCAAATCCATGATAATAAAAGTGTTGTGTTTCTCACATGTATACAGAATCAGTTTGAACTAAATGAGACTCGACAATTTGACTTACCAGCTAGAATCCCACCAGAAATATATGGGAATGAGCAGTCTGGATGAAGGGATACATTTCCACTGAGAATGAAATGACAAAAAAAATGAATACATTGTTAGAGACATGTATCGTCTCCTTTCTTGCTGGATAAGCTTATAAAGCAATGAGTTGATGAAAAGAGGCAATAGAAACATTTTACAAACACCGAATATACATGTTAAATTATTAGCAAAAAACTAAAATAGATGGATGCTTAGAAATGAAATAAGGTTCCTCATCCATCTTGAATCAGGCTAATTCTTTAGCTATTTTGTCAAAACAGTTTCCAAAAAAAGTCACAGTCAACTAACATGTGATAAATTTAAATAATCCAATAAATAAATTTTAAAATATATGCATGATTATAATTTACAACAGTTGTACCTAGCTAACATGCCAAGTGATCTGTATCAGAATGCATTGAGAATGTTAACTTTCATGACAAACCAACAACCATAGTCATACACCATACCTGAATGGATTGTAATATAACACAACAGATTTTTCTATTAAACTCAATGGCTTGCAAAGAGGGGACCAATTTATTTTGCTAGCCTCATGAGTTCCTTTTTCCCGCTGTACCATCCAATAAACTGCACGCCGCTGATATGGTCTAAGCTCAGAAACCAAATTAGGCAGATAATCATCCAACATAGGTTCATCCCTACATAATCATGGATCAAATATTAATAAACTTACTATATACCCCCCGGAGGAACCCGTGGGATCAACACTTAGTCACTTACTTTGATGGCTTAATGGCTTCATAGAAACCAGCAACATCAAGTCTGGCGTGTTTCCTTGAAGAAGATGATTTCCCGTTTATGTCCCCTGTGAAGCTATGTCCATATCTACATTCTGAAGTCGTAACTTCTGGGCGTAGCCAAGCCATGAGACTAATCATACTCTTCTTCCAGAGTTGTCTCGAATTATCAAGAAGCGACTCACACGAATCAAATACAGCTCTTAATATCTCCACCCTAATCCTCACAGATGATAACCCTCCCGAAAAGGTTGTTTTAATTATCATTGGCCTCAATGTCAAGAACTTCAAACTAGCTAAATGTGCAAGCCCAGAAACCCCTTCATCAGGCCCATCAAGATTTCCAGAAACCATCACTAGATGTTCTTCGCTGCCCTCTTTCATATGTTTTGCCACCAATTCAACAGTGATACTAGGGGTGGGTAAAATAGGCCAATGCCCTAATTTAATTCTGCTAAGATGTTGGTTTGCTCCATTCAATCTAAATCTCAAAAAAGACTGTGAATCTTTTTCATAAAGCTCTTCGCTTAAGTTATAACTATAAAGGTCTTGATTTATCCTCAAATCTGTTAAGACAATCTCAGATATATCCATATGTTCATCGGAGGACCATGTAGACCGATCAATCTCAACAAAATATGGTTCATCAAGATCAACAAGGTCGTCTTTTTCGCCTCTATCATCACTATTATGAGTACTATCACGTAATTCCGACAAAGGAGCTAGCTTTCGGTGAACTCCTACAGAACGACGCGGAGGAAACTGCTTCTTTCGGCCCATCACTACACATAAAACCAAAACTTAGCGTCAAAATGTGATGTTGCCTGCACAATAAGATCACCATAATCAAGTGAACCATTTGGGTAATCATAAAATGCGAAAGCTTTATCGCCTGCTATTAACTGACCTGATTCCAAGAACGGAAAGGCGTAAATTTACGAGGCTAATCCAAGTTCTGCTGTATAGAAAGCGCATAACACACGAGGGGGGTCATAAAAAATCTTGATGCTGCCTACACAATAAGATCGCCATAATAAAACGCGAATTTTATTATGGGCGGGACATGCGGAGAAGGCGGGGCCAAAGTAGGACGCAAGTTAAGCAACTGGGAAATTCCCAGGCCTGGTTTGGGCGTTTGGGTCTTTGGGATGATGAAATAAAAAGGCAAAATGCACAAATATACACATAGGTGTGAGAATAAATATATTTATGTTTTACTTTTTAGAATAAATATATCTCTAAAGTATATGTGAAAGTGCATATATAGCCTTAAACTTTTTTAAATGTACAAATGTACCCTCATATTCTTATAAACGAGTAAATATACACTTATTAACTTAAAGGATAAAATAAATTTCAAAAAATATCAAACATAAATTATAAATTCAAAATCAAAAAATAAAAAAATAAAAAAATAAAAAACTTAAAAATGTACTTGTGTCCAATTCTCCCTTTTATTGTTTGTATATCACATTTAAATATTGTTAGTATAGAGAATGTTATTTCAAAACACTACTATATATATACTATGTATTTAAGATTCTTTCGAAAAAAAGTGTTAAAATATGTGTTCCAATATAAAAAAAAAGATTAATTTTTTGCATTCTTTGCATTATAAAATTACATATTTTGTATGATGATAAATAGTTCAAGATTACAAAATAGTGAATTTAATTTTATTAAGGTTAAACAAAATTAAAAAATGTTATTTCAAAAAATATAACAATGTGTTCAAAATTTCATAACAAGACTACAATTAATATTTATGAATTTGAAGTGATTCGTTTACAACGGAAAAATAAATTTTGAAATTTGAAATTAAAGAGTTAATATTTTAACATAATAATAAATCTTTAAATTCTATATTTCATTTTTGGTGTTTTTTGAAATTTATTTTATGTATTTAAAGTCAATAAGGGTAAATTTGCGTCTTAATAAGAACATGAGGGCTATTTTTGCACTTTTTACAAGTTCAAGGGTATATATATGCACTTCAACATATACTTAAGGGATATATTTGTTCTGAAAATAGAACAGATGTATATTTGTTCTCCCACCCGTAGTACATGAGTATATATGTACCTTCACCCATAGAAACCGGTGTTAAGTGGTTCTACACTTCTGCATTGGTTAAATACTTCACTTGAACAGGACGCAAGAAAAATTAGAATGTTTTTACTTATTTGTTTTTGGGTACCAAATCAAATCGGACTTTTACAGACTAGACAAAATTAGACCAGACTTAAATATACCACACTAAACTTTTCATGCATTGTTATAAAATACAAAAAGATCTACCAGACCAGTTTAGACAAGACCAGGAAACTAACATATAATTAATTTGATATATCGTTTTCTAACATATTGACAATACAATTAGAAGGAACATGAAAAGGAACTGGGACATCTAGTAAAGAAAGAGCAACTTTATCTACTTTTGCTATTACATTATATTCGTGAACCGCATAAGATGAGTAGTTTCAATACTACCTTTGTTTTGAGAATTTTGTTAATTTGTCATCAATAAATGTATCTAAATAGGAATCACCCTCCCACCTCATCAAACTTGAAACATTCTGTAAGCATGATAATGTAATTGTTAAGAATGCATTCATAAAAATGAAGATGATGTGTTTATTTTTAAATTCAATTTTGTGCTTCACTTTTTTTTTATCTAAATGGAAAGGTAATCGCTAAGAATGTATTTTTTAAGTACAAATTATTGCGAAGCACACATACTTATATATCTGAATAAATTAAATTAATACTTCACTCTTGATCATAATAACAATAACAATAACAATAATAATAATAATTGACAGAGTGGTTAATAGCGATTCTTTATTTTCCAAATAAATTTTAGAGAGATAATTACATATTTATGATTAAAGTAAAAATTGTTTACAAAAATGTAACTAGTAATTGTAGTAGTGATGGAATCATATATGATGATAGCTTCTGGGTTATTTCGAAGTGCTTAGAGAGAAGGGAGAGCTAAAGTATAGAGAGAGAGAGAGAGAAAATTGCAATAAATGATTTCAGAACCCTCTACAACTACCCCGAGGAGAATATTTATAGAAGGAATATGGATTGGGCTCATAGGACTTGGGCCTGTGAGGCCCAACTACTGAACTACATAATGGGCCACTAACGGGCCGTTTACATGCATAAGCGATCTATTAAGGGAATTCTTGGAGCCGTGTGAAGGGAAGGTACCGAGGTGCACGACACCTCGGCCTTCCTGAGGGTTGTGCCGAGGTGCTCTTCCTCCGAAGGGTATCATCCAGAAGTCTTCCTCTGTTTATGGACTGGGCTTCTTCAAATGATCCTTATGTCTACGGCACAACTATTGGGCAGCCTGTGTGTCCAAGACTATATGGGATATAGGTGCGAGCCCATATACTCTATTAATATATACTTATGTTCGTTTTTTAATCTTAAGTTACTGTGACACTACATTGTTGTAACTATTATTCATATTTGTGTACATAAATTTTATTTTGTTAATATTTTTGAAAAAAATCTATCTTTTAGCATTACAATTTTAATTTATCTTTATATTCATAGGAGTGTATATGTTAAGACCTCAAGTTTCATCCTAGAATGTCGACATGGTAGGAAGAGTAATCCAAAGCCTTATATATTGTTTTATTGTTTTATAACTTTCCGGTAGGACAAATACTTGTAACACGCCTCCTCAGCCTGAATCGGACACGCTGAACAATATTTGGGTGTATAAATGGGCCAAACAGACCCTTAGCTTATCAAGCTACCATGTTTCATGGGTGCTAAATAATAAATATAAGTAGTCAAACCACAACTGGACTCAGTTTTAATACCATGTTAATAAAGACCGGGATTCCATCCTAAAAGACCAACCTGATAGGGAGAGTAGCCAAAAATTTTATATAATGTTTTTATTGTCTTATAACTTTCTGGTATGAGACAAATACTTTTAATAATATATGAAATCAATGAACTAAAATGATAAATGTCATGGTACAAACAAATATGGAAGATGTTGAGTATGCTATTAACTCCCTACTTTGTGATAAATTCGTTTGTCCTTTATATCGTTGTTAATAGTCATCATTGTTATCATTTATCACTAATAATATAAATATATAAAATAATGTTAATTGTTATCATCATAAATATTTTTGTTACACCACATTTGCTTTTGGACCATGAATAATCATTCACAGGACAACATTTCTAATTTTCATCATAAAGAAATAAAAACCAAATAATGTTCATTTTTAATTTTATAATTATAGAATAGAGCATTTGTTCAAAATAACATTTATGCTTTTTAAACACAACCTTCTCTCATGTACTCAATCTTCAATTTAAAAATATATACCTATTGACCGTCAAATAAATTATTTTAGGCCTGAGACCGGTTAGATTCCTAAGCAAAATAAATGGAACCATTTGAAAAGTATCAAATCTTAATAACCTTTTGTTTCTTACAAATTATTCATAGAACCGCAATGGAACCGAACTATTTCGTAAAAGTTGAGTTCTTGTCATTTTACAATTCTTAGACATTCAACGTTTGAAATTATAAAAATACAAATATGTTTATCATAATTTAAATCTAAAAAGTTGAATTTAAAACATGAGTACATAACAGATTGAAAATTTTAGTGAAATAAAATAAAACAAGATATTTACTACAATGTAAAATAGTAGAGACATAAGTTATGTGAAGAGCAAAGCATGCAATGGACCAATTCCAATCAATGATTTTAATATAAAAATAAATAAGTAAATATGCGTTAAAATATGTACCATTAAGTAAAACTCCCTCCATATTTTAAAGATCCATATGCTAGTTTATGGCACAAGATTTAAGAGAAAATAGTAGGGGTAATGAATAGTATAGAAAAGTAGAGAGAAGGTGAAAGGGTAGGAAAGAGATGATAAAAAGTAGAAAAAGTAGGGGTAAGTGAGCATTTTGTAAAGGAAAAACTTACCAAAACGGAAAAGTGTATCTGTGTATTAGATAGGTGTTGAGAAATGGCCTCGTTGTTTTTTAACTTGCATTAGGTATTCTCTAATGACATCTATCAATTCTGAGTGAGTGATTGGTAAGACTTTTATTACTTTTTATATACTACACTAACATTTGTAAGACTTCTATTACATTTTCCCTCATCAACTGTCAATCTGTCATGGTTTTTTAGTTGGCATTGCACTTTATACTAATTTTCATGGTATTTTGGCGTTTGATTTGATGTATTTTTGTTATTGATACTCAAATATCTTGATTGTTAGATGCGTAGACAATCAGCTGACATTTTAATAGTTATTGTCTTATTACAGATTGGTCAGTGCCCATAAGAAGACCTTAATTTTAGTTTCTCTTATTGAAGCCTTCCACCGTGAGAGATCCAACGTGCCCTTTAAGAGTTCTTAATTTTAACCTGATGTCTCATTCTTCTTTCACAAGTTATATGAATCAACTATCATATTCGTTATTTTTTGACAAATCATTTTTTTTATTTAATGAGTTAGAATTTATATTTGCGCATGCACGAGTTGAGATTGTTCATAATTATTGAATCCTTTCAAATAATATACACATATTTTCATATGGTTCGTGTTTGCAAAAATTGGTTTTGAATGAACACACAAATTAATGGTCAACTCACAACCAAAAATTGGGGATGCATAAAAAATGTTATCCATACATCTACTTTTTATCTTCAATAAAGATTTATAGAAATGCATGTTCATATTCATGTGATGTGTATAATATCTATGCATGAGAAATACATCTAATCTCATTTGATCATTTCAATATTTGAATCTATTAAGTTTCATAGTTGTTTTATAATTTTGTAGTAAAGTTTGTTCTTTATTTTAGCTGGATGCATTTAATGTCTACGGTTATGCGTTTAAGGACTTGTTAATGTCCATTTATGGACTTTATTGCAGACATCAACCACATATTACAAGTCAACTTAATACTAAATAAAAGTGAACAATAATTTGATATGAAACTAAAAAAAGATATTACATAGCCATATTTTGAAACCAATTGTAATCAAATTTAGGAACAACACTTAATGACCAAAAGAAGGAAGTTTTACAATTTTTTCCTTTCTAACAAGCTAATCATGACAAAACATCTCAGTCCAAC